GGTTCACTTCCAGTTCCACTCTCTCCTGGGTCTGTGATACTTACATGGTTATTTTACCTTGTGCTGAAGCCCCTGGATTTAACATCTCCCAGTGCTTGGCTTTGCTTTTCTTTGTTTGTTCTGTTAGTGCTAGAGATGAAAGCTGGGCTGTTCCCTTGCAGGGAATCTGTCCCTTGCAAGACATCTTTTTGCTCACCCTTTGTGGATGGAGGCCAGCACACTTGGCGTGTCCTTTTATTCTCACTGTCACTGTTTCTGCCGCAGCTGCTCCGAGGTGTCTCCAGCAGTACGCCCGCCCGCCCCTTCCTCGTCCCAGAGACCACCCAGTCACCAGTGCTCCCAGCAGATGATATGCCCCTTGGCCAGGACCTGGAGGATCCTACTGCAGTATGTGTATCCTGGAGCCTTCCTCTCGTTATTTCATCCTCTCCTTAGTATCTTCTCCCTCACTTGTAGCTGCTCAGTTGATGTCTAGCAGAAACATTTGCTGCCGCTCTCCTAGTGGAGACCTGGCTAAGCAAGTTTTGGAGCTGAAGATTCACTTGTGCTAAAGAAAGTGGTACTCTCCATTGAAATGCCTTTGGAAGGGTTGAATTTAACAGCCCTTGGTGGGATGATCGATCAGCCTGGTTACTCTTAGCACAGATGGCCTTTCTGCCTTTCCAGTTGCCTTGTGCTAGCTGTGCCCGTCACAGCTAGCAGTCTGAAAGCGGACCACTGAGCATATAGCAGCAGGTAGCTGCATTGCTCAGCATATATTTGGCAGCTGATACTGTTGGCCCTTAAGACTCCACGGGACGACGAGCCTGAAAACAGTCACCATGTGAAACTAATCTCTGGCTCAGTAATAGACAACGCACAGTAACTTCAGGTCTTCAGGGCTGATTTGACTGGGACTCTTGTCACAGGTTAAGAGTCAGAGCTCAGAGGTGACTGCTGGAGCATCCACACCTGGGAGGAAGGACATCCGCCCACCACTGAGGACCCTGGCGGTACCCTGTGCCCTGAAGCCACCATCTGGCAAGATGGAAGCCAGTGAGGCCTGGAAGAAGAGTCCTGTCCACCCCAAGAAGCCCAGGAAAGTTTTATTTGAACCCACAGCGTCTGAGAGAGATCTCAATGAAGAAGGTAACTCTGACAGCTTCCAGGTTTATTTTATAGGTCTTGTCTAAACGATCTGTCAATGCTGCTGGGCAACAACTTCCCAGTCCATTTCCCTGTATACCTCCAAGGCAAGATGGGCTTGTCTGTCTTGGCTTGCGAAATACCGAGAATGCTCCTTAGTCCTGGATATACCGCTTGATGAATTTTTGCCTGTTGGGAAAAGGCCAGAAATAGAACATGGTATACTCTTAGTGCCAACACTCTCTACCATAACATAATACGCCTATCTCTTCATGGGAGTAAAAGTGCTTTATAAATGAAGGCAAGTATTGTTAGCCTTGTTTTACAAAAGAGTAAACTGAGGCACAAGTTACCTACTGTGACGTTCTGTATACTCTCCATTAGCCTGTTTGTTCCCCAACTAACAGCATACCACTTGGTCCATAGAAGATGCTGGTTATTATTAAAGTATGGAGAATATGAAAAGGAATATATGTATAATTAGTATAATTGTACTGACTTTTCAGTAGTGAGAAGGTAGCTGCCAAGGGGTTTGGAAACAACCTTTAGCTTCTGGAGTGTGAATTCCAACTCAGCTCCAGGGTGTGACCAAGTTTGTGTGTAAATGTTTGACAGTAACTCAGTGGTCCCCATGTGAAGTGGCTTCTTGGGACTTGGCTTGCTTCTCACAAAGGCAAATATAGCTCCATCATAAAGTCGCTTCCGCTGTAGGCAGTGTGAGAAGGGGGGAAATTACCTTCCATCAGAGGGGTAAAATGCAATGGTGACAGCATGATGGCAGTCAAAGGAAGCGTGCCCTGCTCTTACCTGTCTTCTGCATTTCTTCTGATGAGACTTTCTTCAGGATTCTTGGTCTTGCACCTTGTTTGTTGCAGTGAGGTAGCTTTGTGCTGGGGTTTGGAGGAAGGAAGGCCAAAGGGCGCTTAAACTGCGGAGCTGAGCACCTTGCACGGCATGTCTGCTGGCTGCTTTCTTTATGGGGTTCATCTCTGTGTTTCCTCTGCAGATCTGGCAGTGGAAGAGTTGCAAGGTGAGGATCTGGTTCCTAGACCCTGCTTTGTCTTTTCAGCCACTTGGTGATGCCATTCCCTTTAATGTCACAGGCCTCTCATGCTTCATCCTTTATCTCCCCAGTGATCAAGAATTACAAGTAGGTTGTGTGTATATACTGTTCCTCTCCATGCAATTGCCCTCAGTATAGGTGCTTCCAGTACTGTCAGGCTCTCCAATATGCTTCTGTAGCCCCTCTGAATCTCAGGCATACCTCTGGGTGCATAGACTTTTGAGGCAAAGGGTGAGATGTGGAATAGACTTTGATTAAAAAGTATTTTTTAGCTTGCTCAGCCAACCGCAGGGGCCTGGGACAGGAAAGGAGGAGGAACAGAACGGTACGAGGAATATCTCTGGAGGCAGCTCCAGGCTTCTGGTTGCTGTATCTTAGGCACTAACAAGCTGTCCCTGGGTAGCCCTCCCTCACAAGGAGTAACACAGGGGGATAGCACAACTGGGATATCCCTCGTAGGGAGGGGTAATCAATGGGGGGCATCCAAGCCTGTCTGAATTGGCAGCCTGTATGCGTCCTACATCCAGCCAGACTCTCTGCTGGCTCCGTCTGCTAGCGATGTCTCTCCTAGCACAGCAGTTATTCCCCAAAGCCAACAGAAAATCTTCCTCAGGAAGCTATGTCTCTTGCCACCCCAGAGGGAAGGGACCTGGGGCCCTTGCCTTCCCATTTCTCCCCTCTGAGCCTTCAGCTGCCTTGTTTTCCCCAGTGGGGAAGGGAGCTGGGGGTGTCTTGTCTGACTCTGCTCACAGTGCTGTGCTCTCCCCTCCCCAGGCAGTCCCAGCCCACGGTGGTGCCATGCCATGTGCCTAAGTGACCTGGGGACAGCTGTTCTGATCGGTGGAGAAGGCGTCCATCAGCAGTCCTGCAAGGATGCACTCTGGAAGCTGGAAATTGGTGGGGACTTTAGGGCTATCAAAGGCAATGGGGGGAGTGGGACTCGAGGACAACTCATGCAGATGGGAGGGGGTACTCAGGGGTCTGTGCATAGGGAGAGGACAGCAAAGGTATCACATCTCCTAGCATGGTCACCAGGCTGAGCTGACAGCATAGGGTGCCATGAGAGGCTGTGTGGTTGTATGCGAGAGCCCTCCAGGAACTAAGGTATAAGTTCTGGAAAGAGTTGGGTGAATTTTAAGGGATAAAAGCAACAGCGCGGTTTGCAGTCTGTGTGTGATGACTGGTGGAGAAGTCTGAGATGCAATTCCAGTGCCTTTCAGCTTTCTGCACCTCACCGATCCTCTCTTCCACCTTACTATTCCCCACCTAGTTAGTGTTCCCCTTCATTCCTTACACAGAAACATTTCTGGATGAGTCCCCTGAATCAAAGGAGAGGAGGAGATGAAGGGAGCAAGGTCTTGAGTAAAGATTTTATGACATATTCTTTAAATCTGGAGAAATCGAGAGCATCTTTGAAGTCCCACACCATCTGTCTGGTGTTGCTCCCACAGACAGTGATTTCTGGCTTCCAGTGGGTTTCCAGCTACAAAACGCCATGCCATCATGCTTGCATGGTCACACAGCTACCTACGACCCAGACACCAAGCGTATCTACATCTTTGGGGGCATAAGGGAGGGCAAAGACTACAGCGGCATCTACATTCTGGACACAGTCACCTGGAAATGGCTCCTCGTGGCTGTAAGTACTGTACCTCTTCCAAGACAAAAGCACAGTAGGGGTGGCAGGTCCTGCCTGAATGTGACAATCGATGTGCCCGAATCCTTATTCCAGCAGTTGTGGTCCACTGTTGCTGCAGGTTGTCTGAGCCGCTTAGTTGGGATTGACAGATAGAAGGCGTTGAAAGGCCACAAGCTTGGCAGAAACCAGGGGCTGTACCTACAATGAATGAAGCAAAGTGAAAAAATGGTTGAAAAATGGTTGCTGCAGAGTGCTGTGTCTGACCAAGGTCGTGGGTGGGAGGTACTGTACAAGCGGCAGAGGGAAATGGCCTCTCATTTCATATGGTGCTGTCGAGAGCTGCACTGGATGCTGAGGTGAAGAGCTGGTCTTCTCAAATCAGGGACTGCTCTGAGCACAGCAGATCTCTGAGCTCTTTAGTTGCCTGTCATGTCCTTGCAGCGGGCCCTGTCAGCGAGGGACTGTGTCTCTTTCCTGGCTAAGGCACAAGATGGCTTTTACAGAAAAAGCCTGGATGAGATATTTCTGTTCTCTGTCATCTTCTGAGGAAGCTGGGGTGTGAGGTTGACTTCTCTCATCAGAGCATTCTGGTGGTGCAGAGTATGCAAAGGATGTACTCTCTGCCTGTGTGGCAAAGATCTGGGTGGGGAGCCAATAAAGGGAAAATTGAGACTTGTCAAACTCACTGCATGATGTGGGCCCCTTTCCTACGGGCCATGCAGCAAATACTGCACTTCTCATAACAAACATATGTTGAACTTTTTCCAGGCTAAAGGGAGGATGCCAGTGCTCACCTACCACAGTGCAACTATCTACCGCAAGGAGCTCTTTGTTTTCGGAGGGACTTTCCCCAAAAAGGCATCACTGGCAGTTGGACCCTGCAGCAATGTGCTCTATGTCTTCAATCCAGAGCATGAAATTTGGTATCAGCCCATCTCAGAAGGGGAGAAGCCTCTGCCTAGGCTTGGGTGAGAGTGCTCTTATTCCAGCCCTCCAAAATAGAGCAGGAAACCTCTGCTCACCTTCCCTCCCACCCCAGCGTAATTTCCTAAATATTAGGTGGTTGTTCTCCACTGTTTGCTCCTTAAGACAGGGCTATGTTTTGAGCGATGTGACTCCCAGTACCTCCTGTCATGAATCGTTATGGGATTCTGTCTTTGGGCTGCAGTGGCTGGGGGTAGAGGCCGGTGAGACTGAAGCTATGGCAGCCCAACAGCAGAAGACAAGGCTGAAACATCAGTTTTGGGAACTTGCTGAAGATGCTTTGTTCACTTGTTTCTTCTCTGCCCAGGCATTCAGCTACTCTACTGAAGAACAAGCTGCTGATTTTTGGGGGTCGGAGGACTTCTCTCTACCTCAGTGACATGCACATCCTGGATTTGGGTAAGAAAGTCTGTGCCAGGTGGCTGCCTTGGGAAGGTCTGTTCTAAGGCAGGGACAGGGGAATGAGGCACGCTTGATGGGAAGGCAGCATTAACGTTATACAAACTCCTGAGTAGGCAATGGAGATGGAAAACTATGGGGTAAAAAAACTCTTTCTGGGGTAAGAGGGGAGGGAATGGGGAAAAACAAGAGACTGCTTTTTTGAAAGAAGCTGGGTAATAGAGAGGGCAGGTTGCTGATGTGGCAGAGTATGGAAGTTTTTTGTCTAGTTATAAGGCTAAGCTTTTTGGACGTTTCACCTGCCTTTCCCCTGGTTGTCAGGTTTCATGGAGTACACACCAGTCCCCCTCCTTGCAGGACAGCCTTCCGCACGTTGGTAAGATCCTATTGCAGACCCAGGAGCTATCTTCTTCCTCTGTCCTTTCTCTTTGAAGCAGGTTTAAACGGTGCTTGTCATGAGACCCGGCTGCATATCTCTGTCCCAGTAGTCAAAATACAGTGGATGGCCCCTCTGCTGTGGGACCAGAAATTCCTGTGCTGTCCTAGTTGGTGCCTGTAGGGTGTCGGGGGTACAGACTCCTTAGTCTCCCTGGAAATTTGTCTTTCAGGCTAGGGGAAGTTTTCTGCTGTGTGCTAGTGAACTGTATTGCCTGCTGTTTGGCCTCCACAGTACCTGGAGTACAACACACACACACAGAGGAAGAAACTCTTGTACCAGGACTATGCTGTTCCTAAAGGGACATTATTGCCCGCTAGAACAACCGCCTAAATCAGACCAAAGCCCAGCTAGCCTGCTGTCTCACTCTATAGAGCAAAACATAGGACTTTTGATAGCTCCTTCTGAGATAATGAGGTGCTTTTCAGGCCTGATTATGGCCTGACTTGCAGAGGCAAACAAACAGCTCTTTCAGGGTTATTCAGCAAGTCAGGGCAGAAGAGAAGCAGAAGTTAACTTCCATTCTGCAGCTTAAGCCCCCAGCCTCCTGTTGAAGTCTGCCCACCCTGCCCATTGCTGACTGAGGCAACCCCAGCAGGTTTTGCTGTAGTCACCTTTCGGCTTTGCTTTCGTCGCAGTTTTCATGCAGCTGTGGCTGTGTCGGACCAGAAGGTTCTGATCAGTGGAGGCTGCAATGCCAAGGGAGCCCTGCAGGATGCCTTTGTCTTCCACCTAGGTGAGTGACCCTCCCTCCCTGTTTCCATAGCTGAAAGGGACTATTGGGCTGCAGTGGTGTTTCTGAACACCTAGTCTGGTCCATTTGTTTCATCCCTTGCACTAGGAATGGGCTTGTCAGTATTGATAGCCCCTTTCTACTTCAGATACTCTTTCATGGAGCACGGTGATCCACCACGACCTCTGCTCTGTGCCCCGAGCTGGCCACACATTGCTTGACCTGACTCCTGCCCACCTGATGGATGTGGACAAGGAGAACAGAGAGGAGCATAATCTGCACACGGTGTTGATCTTTGGGGGCTCCAACTGTGCCGGGACATTTTACAACAGCACAGTCAAGATCCAGCTGGACCTAGGATAATGCACAATACTCAGAATGAGCCGGGAACAGCAAGGGCTCTTCACCAGCCTGAATATAGACATCGATGGCAATAAATGAGTCCAAGCAACGTGGCAGTCCAAGTATCTATATGTAGGTGAATGCTACGTTGGCACAAGAGATCATGGGTTTGTAAAGTCTTACTGAAGGCTGTGGGTATTGCCCTCTTAGGGCAGCTGATATACAGCATCAGACTGGCAGAAATTCCCTCCCGTATCCCTGGCTTGGTACCTGGGCTTGGGTGCCACAGCATTCAGTGGGATCTGAGCTGAGCCTGCACAGGAACACAGTCACAGGCTTCTGGGTTTCCCTTCTTGCCTTACAGGTTTCTGGGCTGGAATTCCCGGGGTGCTTTCAGCTTTGAAGGTGACTCAGGTGTTGGGTTTCCTTTGGGATGAGTGGAATGGGATTTACTCCTGCTGCTTGGAAGGTCCTCACCTTGTGAAAGCACAGGCATGATTCTGGTTTGGAGGGAATCTGGGGTGGGATTCCCTTGGGCAATAGTCTGCAGCTGAGGGCTAGGAAAACACCTAGAACAGTGTCTGAGGATGGGAAAAGGAAGAGAATGCCATCATTTTCAGCGTATGGGAGTGAGCTGGTTGTGTCTTGCTGACTATGGCACAACCACCTAGTTTTGCTCTAGACAGACCTTTATTATAAATTCTGCAAGACTGCTGCTAGACATAAGGAAGAGGTACAAATCAGCTGTCCCAGGTAGTAATTCTCTTGTCATTGCAAGGGGTGGGAGAGTAGCTGACTGTTGGCTCTTGCAAGACCCGTGGGACCTAACAAGGGTTGGGATTAAGCTGTCTTCTGTCAGAGACTAGCTCTTACTGTTCATATCCATGGCACTGATGATTATGCCATAGCTCTGAGGCAAATGCAAGGACAAGCAGGCCTGCTAGGTTAATAGCAGGTGTGCGCACTAGTTCCCTGATGCTTTCTGTAGATGGTAGAAAGAAGAAGCCCCTGTGGAGAGTCCAGAATTGGCTCAATGCCTCACAGTTTGTGGCCACATTCCCCAACCCAAAGCCATACAAAGGGGACTTCTGATAATTATGGATGCTTTTGCTTTAATCTGCTTCATGGAGATACATCAGATAGAAAAAACATAGTCAGAAGTAGCTGCAAGATTTCCAGCATGGGCATAGCTCCTGTATGTCATCCAGGCTACTTCCAGGTCCTCTGTCCTTCTTCCCACCCAGATGAAAGTGAGACAATAGTACTAGGGCTTCCTGCTGGCACTGAAGTCCTACAGCACTCAAACTGTAGATGTTGTTCTCTTTGACACTCCAGCTTACTTGATTTAACAAGTAGAAGGGCTTCAAGCTCGCAGCTCTGCAGGAGTATCTGGCTGCCGGGATGGGTGGCTTACTTTGAATGCCTCTAACTCCAGGAGAGTTTTGTTTATTCTGGTTATTGTGGGATATGGACCCATGTCCACTTTGAATCTGCAAAAGGAAAATAATTTGTGAGGTACTATGGGTCGGGCAGCCAGTGCAGCAGTGAGCAGAAGGGCAATGTACTGAGCCTGCCCAGTATGGGAGAATCTTACAGGCTGGGGTACATTTGCATTAAGAGAAAAGGTTCATCCTTGTAGGGTTAAAAACAAATGCTAGAGGAAAGGTTAGTTAGTTCTTCCATCTTCACTAGGCTTTTACATAGTGTGCAGCACAGGGTAAGAAGGCATTATGCTTTTCCTGGGAATCATGCAGCCACTACTTGCATAGGTTTAAGGCTTTCAACAAATACAGTCAGATTAATCTTTTCCCTCTGTGTGCAGTGTAAATATAGGTCAAACAGGGAGAGAGGATGTAGGCAACCTTAGCTTTTCTAAGGACATAGATCAGGTTTCCTCCAGGGGCCTCTGAGAAGAGAGCACAGCTCCTTATTTCCAAGAACTTCCAAAAACGACAGTATTTATGACATAGGAAAATTCATGCAGAGAAGAATCCATAACTGGGTAGGGCAGGCAGGAGGGATGCTTTCCTAACAGGCACAAGGAGCAGCAGAAGGTAAGCTCTGACAGCCCAGCCCTTGAAGAGGACCTCAAGTTTAGCCTTAATTACCTTTCAGCATTGGCAACTTGAGGCACCAAGCACAGATCAGCCATGGAAACCTGCAAATGTAGCAGAGAAAAGGGGTCAGAGTAACTCAGAGCCTGTCTGTGTGCTTCACTGTGGTGGCAGACTTTGAGAGCAGGATAGAAATTATTTTATCAGCCAGTACAGAGGAGTTATCACAACAATCTCATTCTTTAATCCAGCATTAATAATATGACAGTGGTACAAGGAAAGGAACTTCATAGCAATCACCAGTAGAAGCAGCCATTAGCCTTTAGGGAGCTTCATATTTACCAGCTGATCATGATGACCTCAAGGACACAGTGATTCTATGGCAGCTGCCTCTGAGCAAACAAGTCTGCTGGCAAGCTGCAGAAGGAGGCCATGGAGGGAGGGGGCAGTTTGCATGGCTGGGAAAAGATGAGTAAATTTTGCTTGTTTGCATTGCAGGAGTATCAAGCAGCTCCTGCCAATGTCAAGACCTGATATGTGACAGGGCCTTTACACACAGGCTCCGGGACTCACAACCTGAAAAGACGACTCAAGGACAATACAGCTAGGTGCCTATGCGCACAGAGGCAGCTGCCCCCGCCCCGCTCCCCAGCTCACAAAGCCCTTTCAGAGCACACATTGTTCTCCAGCATAAGATCTTGTAACTAGCCTTTGCCCACCAAGGGCTCCAGTTCCATAAGGCTCCTACTAGACAATCCTCTGCATCACAGGATATTGCAGGAGCCTTCCTTTTTTCTTAGGCTTTTATAGAAAAGATCCAATTACTTGCCAAACAGGACTACTAAATGGAAGAGGCCTGAGTGGCCTCTAGCTTGGTAAGGGTCAGAACAGCTTGTATGTGAGCTCTCTGAAATCTGTCCATGTTAAAATTGGACAAACAGAGCAGAAAAATACAATACAACTTGGTTAAAGGTTCCACAGAGCAGAGCTAAGAACTGAACCTGTGTTTCTTGAGCCAAGCTTTGCCCCTATGATGGGACACTCTGAACTCCAAATCTCTTAAAGATGAAATATAAATAATCTGTTTCCACATCCTCAGGTAACAGCCAGATCCTAGATACATCTGCAGAATCTGGCCATCAGCGGGTTAACGGCAGAGACAAGTAAACATCTCCGTAACTATTTGCAATTCAGTAATGGCCTAAGTAGGATCCATGCAGCTGTTTTTCTTACGGTGAAGGTACTGCATGTAACTCCAGGCACAGGATGGGGTTGTGCTGTGTCTCCACAACTAACTTCCTTTCCTATTTTATGGAATATACTGGTGTTTTCAGTTCTCCAATGGTACACAACTTACACAACAGATACTTACTTCATCCCCCACACAGTAGCGCCCAGCAGTGTGCTGCAGAATCTGCTCCAGTGCTGTCAAGAGAGGTGGTACACTGGACTCAGGCATTGGAAACTCATTTGAAAGGGACACCAAAGGCCTTTTAGACTGGGAGTTACAAACAAGGGCATTTTGACCCTGAGCTGAGTATGAAAAAGGAGCAATTTGGGACAGAACCTAGAAGGAACAGAAATCTTACAACAGCATAGTAATGGGAGTCTTTAGGGTCCTTCAGCTTTTTGGGACCCAGGGTGATTTCAGCTGCTTCAGGCAATGCACCTGAAATACTAAGAGGACAATATAGAGATATGTGAGTGGGGAGGGGAAAAATGCAAAGGTTCAGTTTGCATCTGTCCAGAAGTGAATTGGGACAGAACCTAGAAGGAACAGAAATCTTACAACAGCATAGTAATGGGAGTCTTTAGGGTCCTTCAGCTTTTTGGGACCCAGGGTGATTTCAGCTGCTTCAGGCAATGCACCTGAAATACTAAGAGGACAATATAGAGATATGTGAGTGGGGAGGGGAAAAATGCAAAGGTTCAGTTTGCATCTGTCCAGAAGTGAAGATGGGC